AACTGTCCATGATTCACATCCGTATATCAATTAAATAATGTTTATTACTTTTGAGAATTCCCTTTCTCATCTCAATTGGCAAGAAAGACAAAATATTCTTCATTTGGTTAAACGCTGCCTTTGCTTGAGCTGTTCGACATTTAACTTCCTTAGTATATCTTTCGTCTGATGATATCAGAGTACCCAAGTATCTAAACACATCAACTTGCTTGAGGTTTGTCTCATTTACTTTGATGTTGCATTTTCGTGGGTCAATTTTCTTCGTATTTACCATTAATCATCATCATCATCATCAATGACCCCTTCAGTCGTTTAGCGTTGTGGGGAGGAACAGTTTGTGATCTATTGCTTGATGAGCAGCAGTGGCTTTTTTCATTCCGTGTCGATGCAGAAGCTTCTTTAATATCATCAGTCGATATTCTGCTAGGACTGCCTCTTGCTTTGACTTCAGATCTTACCTGCGTTGGTAGTTGTTCCGGTTGCATTTTTACTAATTGACCAAACCATTTGATCTTTCGTTTTGCACTGAATTTGTTGCATGATTGGTGTTCCTATGGTCGTCTAATAATATCATTTCTAACTGTGTCTCAGATGGTTAACTCATTTGGCAGATGTTGCAGCACCTCTGGTACTGGTGGCACAGTGTTAAGTGGAATTGAGTCAAGAATTGATATCAAAGCACTCAGTGCATTGCCTTGCATCCACCGTCCTCATCTTCAGCAGCCAGCCCAGAGTTCCAGTACTGATGGTACCGGTCACAGTCTGGTTATATGTCCATCTTGCCTTCCCTCTGAGTGCAGTGAGCCGGCCAGACCCTCTGGTTACAGCCATATGCCCTATTCTCTCCAGACCATAAAAATAATCTGTCTCTACTGATTTCGTTGCTTTTTCCCAAAGGGCCTTGACGACATCTGCCTTGGTGACACAGTGTTGGATGAATATTCTATTGGTTGTGTTGTTGGATGAATATGCTATTGGTTGTGTTGTTGGATGAATATGCTATTGGTTGTGTTGTTGGATGAATATGCTATTGGTTATGTTGTTGGATAATATTCTATTGGTTGTGTTGTTGGATGAATATGCTATTGGTTGTGTTGTTGGATGAATATGCTATTGGTTGTGTTGTTGGATGAATATGCTATTGGTTGTGTTGTTGGATGAATATGCTATTGGTTGTGTTGTTGGATAATATTCTGTTGGTTGTGTTGTTGGATGAATATGCTATTGGTTGTGTTGTTGGATGAATATGCTATTGGTTGTGTTGTTGGATGAATATGCTATTGGTTGTGTTGTTGGATGAATATGCTATTGGTTGTGTTGTTGGATGAATATGCTATTGGTTGTGTTGTTGGATAATATTCTATTGGTTGTGTTGTTGGATGAATATGCTATTGGTTGTGTTGTTGGATGAATATGCTATTGGTTGTGTTGTTGGATGAATATGCCATTGGTTGTGTTGTTGGATGAATATGCTATTGGTTGTGTTGTTGGATGAATATGCTATTGGTTGTGTTGTTGGATGAATATGCTATCGGTTGTGTTGTTGGATAATATTCTATTGGTTGTGTTGTTGGATAATATTCTATTGGTTGTGTTGTTGGATGAATATGCTATTGGTTGGGTTGTTGGATGAATATGCTATTGGTTGTGTTGTTGGATGAATATGCTATTGGTTGTGTTGTTGGATGAATATGCTATTGGTTGTGTTGTTGGATGAATATGCTATCGGTTGTGTTGTTGGATAATATTCTATTGGTTGTGTTGTTGGATAATATTCTATTGGTTGTGTTGTTGGATGAATATGCTATTGGTTGTGTTGTTGGATGAATATGCTATTGGTTGTGTTGTTGGATGAATATGCTATTGGTTGTGTTGTTGGATGAATATGCTATTGGTTGTGCTGTTGGATAAATATGCTATTGGTTGTGTTGTTGGATAAATATGCTATTGGTTGTGTTGTTGGATGAATATGCTATTGGTTGTTTTGTTGGATGAATATGCTGTTGGTTGTGTTGTTGGATAAATATGCTATTGGTTGTGTTGTTGGATAATATTCTGTTCGTTGTGTTGTTGGATGAATATGCTATCGGTTGTGTTGTTGAATAATATTCTATTGGTTGTGTTGTTGGATGAATATGCTATTGGTTGTGTTGTTGGATGAATATGCTATTGGTTGTGTTGTTGGATGAATATGCTATTGGTTGTGTTGTTGGATGAATATGCTATTGGTTGTGTTGTTGGATGAATATGCTATTGGTTGTGTTGTTGGATGAATATGCTATTGGTTGTGTTGTTGGATGAATATGCTATTGGTTGTTTTGTTGGATGAATATGCTGTTGGTTGTGTTGTTGGATAAATATGCTATTGGTTGTGTTGTTGGATAATATTCTGTTGGTTGTGTTGTTGGATGAATATGCTATTGGTTGTGTTGTTGGATGAATATGCTATTGGTTGTGTTGTTGGATGAATATGCTATTGGTTGTGTTGTTGGATGAATATGCTATTGGTTGTGTTGTTGGATGAATATGCTATTGGTTGTGTTGTTGGATGAATATGCTATTGGTTGTGTTGTTGGATGAATATGCTATTGGTTGTGTTGTTGGATGAATATGCTATCGGTTGTGTTGTTGGATAATATTCTATCGGTTGTGTTGTTGGATAATATTCTATTGGTTGTGTTGTTGGATGAATATGCTATTGGTTGTGTTGTTGGATGAATATGCTATTGGTTGTGTTGTTGGATGAATATGCTATTGGTTGTGTTGTTGGATGAATATGCTATTGGTTGTGTTGTTGGATGATATATGCTATTGGTGTGTGTTGTTGGATGAATATGCTATTGGTTGTGTTGTTGGATGAATATGCTATCGGTTGTGTTGTTGGATAATATTCTGTTGGTTGTGTTGTTGGATGAATATGCTATTGGTTGTGTTGTTGGATGAATATGCTATTGGTTGTGTTGTTGGATGAATATGCTATTGGTTGTGTTGTTGGATGAATATGCTATTGGTTGTGTCGTTGGATGAATATGCTATTGGTTGTGTCGTTGGATGAATATGCTATTGGTTGTGTTGTTGGATGAATATGCTATCGGTTGTGTTGTTGGATAATATTCTATTGGTTGTGTTGTTGGATAATATTCTATTGGTTGTGTTGTTGGATGAATATGCTATTGGTTGTGTTGTTGGATGAATATGCTATTGGTTGTGTTGTTGGATAATATTCTATTGGTTGTGTTGTTGGATGAATATGCTATTGGTTGTGTTGTTGGATAATATTCTATTGGTTGTGTTGTTGGATGAATATGCTATTGGTTGTGTTGTTGGATAATATTCTATTGGTTGTGTTGTTGGATGAATATGCTATTGGTTGTGTTGTTGGATAATATTCTATTGGTTGTGTTGTTGGATGAATATTCTATTGGTTGTGTTGTTGGATGAATATGCTATTGGTTGTGTTGTTGGATGAATATGCTATTGGTTGTGTTGTTGGATGAATATGCTATTGGTTGTGTTGTTGGATGAATATGCTTTTGGTTGTGTTGTTGGATGAATATGCTATTGGTTGTGTTGTTGGATGAATATGCTATTGGTTGTGTTGTTGGATGAATATGCTATTGGTTGTGTTGTTGGATGAATATGCTATTGGTTGTGTTGTTGGATGAATATGCTATTGGTTGTGTTGTTCGATGAATATGCTATCGGTTGTGTTGTTGGATAATATTCTATTGGTTGTGTTGTTGGATGAATATGCTATTGGTTGTGTTGTTGGATGAATATGCTATTGGTTGTGTTGTTGGATGAATATGCTATTGGTTGTGTTGTTGGATGAATATGCTATTGGTTGTGTTGTTGGATGAATATGCTATTGGTTGTGTTGTTGGATAATATTCTGTTGGTTGTGTTGTTGGATGAATATGCTATTGGTTGTGTTGTTGGATGAATATGCTATTGGTTGTGTTGTTGGATGAATATGCTATTGGTTGTGTTGTTGGATGAATATGCTATTGGTTGTGTTGTTGGATGAATATGCTATTGGTTGTGTTGTTGGATAATATTCTGTTGGTTGTGTTGTTGGATGAATATGCTATTGGTTGTGTTGTTGGATGAATATGCTATTGGTTGTGTTGTTAGATGAATATGCTATTGATTGTGTTGTTGGATAATATTCTGTTGGTTGTGTTGTTGGATGAATATGCTATTGGTTGTGTTGTTGGATGAATATGCTATTGGTTGTGTTGTTAGATGAATATGCTATTGGTTGTGTTGTTGGATGAATATGCTATTGGTTGTGTTGTTGGATGAATATGCTATTGGTTGTGTTGTTGGATGAATATGCTATTGGTTGTGTTGTTGGATGAATATGCTATTGGTTGTGTTGTTGGATAATATTCTGTTGGTTGTGTTGTTGGATGAATATGCTATTGGTTGTGTTGTTGGATGAATATGCTATTGGTTGTGTTGTTGGATGAATATGCTATTGGTTGTGTTGTTGGATGAATATGCTATTGGTTGTGTTGTTGGATGAATATGCTATTGGTTGTGTTGTTAGATGAATATGCTATTGGTTGTGTTGTTGGATGAATATGCTATTGGTTGTGTTGTTGGATGAATATGCTATTGGTTGTGTTGTTGGATGAATATGCTATTGGTTGTGTTGTTGGATGAATATGCTATTGGTTGTGTTGTTGGATGAATATGCTATTGGTTGTGTTGTTGGATGAATATGCTATAGGTTGTGTTTTTTGGATGTATATGCTATTGGCTGTGTTATTCTCTAATAAACTCCATAAAACCACCTATTTTGCCAGTCTTAATGTTATAATATGTGTTATGTTATCATCATCAATGTCCCCATGCATGCTCAGTCCTTCAATGCAGCAGCCACTCCAAGGTACCTCTACTGATTGTTTCCATAAGGAGTTGGTTATAGTATCCCTGTCTTTACCTTGAGAAGGGCAAGGTTGTATATATATATATGTTTACAATTTCTGATGCAGGTTGCCAACTTACTCCAACATATCCCCGACAGCAGTCCAAACCTCGGCCCTCATGATGCCTCAGAGTCGAAATTTTCACCACCCTAAGGTCAGCGAAGCTGAGCATATGACTATGATGCACCAGGTAGGTCTGAGTTTTGTAGTAAACCACATTGTTTTGGTTACCTGTGATATATGGTTACCTATATTACTGACCTACCTATCTGGGTTGCCTCTCTTACCTGGGTTGCATTACTGTTGCCTCTGTTACCCTGGTTATGGTTATTGGTTACCTCAGTTTTATTTGTTAGTTACCTGTGTTACTGACTTACTTAAGTTGTTTGGTTGGCTTTTTAATGGGTAATCTTTATTATTTAAATATTTTACCAGGGTTATTTTGTCACCTGTGCTGCTTTTATTATTCACTCACCTGTGTTGTTGGATTACCTATGTTTTTTTTACTGTGTTTTTGGATTAACTATGCTGTTGAGTTACATATGATATTAGGTTACCTTTTTTTAAAATTGGGTTACCTGTGTTATTTGGTGTTCTCGGATTACTCATGCTGCTAACAATTCTAACACATACCAGCAAAAGTTGGAGAAGCACCAGAGATTCTGAACAGATGTTAAATGCATTTGGAATTAAATGTCTGGAAAAATTCACAAACGTACCTGTAAAATGGTATGAATTAAAAAAAACGAGTGTGAAGATCAGAGAAATGTCTGGACAAATACCTGTATCGACGGCACTAAGACAAAGAAGGTGGAGATATATTGGGCACACTCTGAGATGAAATTAGCAAAGAATTACAAAACAAGCACTGAACTAGGAAACAAACGTTCTGAGAAAAAAAAGACGCCCAATGGAAACATTAAAAACATTATTATGAGAGGCAAAAAATACTGGGCTGAACTCCATGTCAGAAATTTAGCAAGTTGCATGTAATAGAGTGGAGTGGGGGAATCGAATGTGAGGCTTATGTGACGTCTGGCAGCATACAAAGGATGATGATGATGATGAAATATTTGTCTGTTTTGATTTTGATCAGCAGAGACAGCAGCCGAAGCTTCCTGTGTATGATCAGCGACCCAGAATGCCTCAGCAATCCCAAGCTATGTCTGGAATTCAGGCCCCCACAGCTTCTTTATCTAGTCCAGCTGGGACATCCAGAACTGGAGGTTCAGCAGCCTTTGGGCCCCTGGGTCCAGCCCCAGGGGGTAACATGGGTCCTACAAACAGTGTGTGTAGGGTGTGTGGCAAAGTGGCCGTGTTTCTGTGCTCAAGTTGTCGTCGTGTGTGGTACTGCAACCAGTTGTGCCAGGTGAGATCTATCTTGTCTAACCATCCCTCATCTTCATTGTCTTGTCTTGTCTTACCATCCCTGATCTTCATTGTCTTGTCTTGTCTTACCATCCCTCATCTTCATTGTCTTGTCTTGTCTTACCATCCCTCATCTTCATTGTCTTGACTTGTCTTATCTTACCATCCCTCATCTTCATTGTCTTGTCTTGTCTAACCATCCCTCATTTTAATTGTCTTGTCTTGTCTTACCATCCCTGATCTTCATTGTCTTGTCTTGTCTTACCATCCCTCATCTTCATTGTCTTGTCTTGTCTTACCATCCCTCATCTTCATTGTCTTGACTTGTCTTATCTTACCATCCCTCATCTTCATTGTCTTGTCTTGTCTTACCATCCCTCATCTTCATTGTCTTGACTTGTCTTATCTTACCATCCCTCATCTTCATTGTCTTGTCTTGTCTTACCATCCCTCATCTTCATTGTCTTGACTTGTCTTATCTTACCATCCCTCATCTTCATTGTCTTATCTTATCATGCCTCACCTTGTGTTATTAGGTCTCATGTTGAATTGTCTTATTTTTTATTGCCATTGCATGTCATAAATCATCTTGTGTTATCATATCTCGTGTTGAATTGTCTTATTTTTTATTGCTATTGCATGTCATATATCATCTTGTGTTATCATGTCCCCAGTTGAATTGACTTATACTATCTTGTGGTGCCATCGTTTGCCTTCTTATGATGTGTCTTGTCTTGAATTGCCTTGTCTTTTTTGTTTTTGTTTTTGTATTCTCTTCTCACATCTTGTCTTAAATTGTCCTGCTGTTCCTTGTCTTGTCTAGAATTGTCTTGTATTTTGTGTATTGTCTGGTATTATCTTGTCCTAAATTGTCCTGCTGTGCCTTGTCTTGACTAGAATTGTCTTGTATTTTGTAAATTGTCTGGTATTATCTTGTCTTAAATTGTCCTGGTGTGCCTTGTCTTGTCTAGGATTGTCTTGTATTCTATATTGTCTGGAATTATCTTGTCCTAAATTGTCCTGGTGTGCCTTGTCTTGTCTAGAATTGTCTTGTATTTTGTGTATTTTCTTGTATTATCTTCTCCTAAATTTTCCTGCTGTGCATTGTCTTGTCTTGAATTGTCTTGTATTTTGTATATTGTCTTGTCTTATCTTGTCTTAAATTGTCTCGCTGTGCTTTGTCTTGTCTTGTATTTTGTGTATTGTCTTGTACTATCTTGTCTTAAATTGTCCCGCTGTGCCTTGTCCTGTCTTGAATTGTCTTGTCCTGTCTTAAAGTGCCTCGCCTTGTCATGCCAGCTGCGGGCGATTTTACAGCAGAACATCTTATGTTGGTTCGACATTGGTATTAAGACCTGCCCGTTTAAAGAGCAATGGCAAACTGCTGAGAGTAAAATTTTCCAAGAAAAACCACAATAGCCAAAAACTGCTGTGTTTGGTTTTGCAAAGTAAAAGATACGCTACTAACTGTTTCCTTTTTTATTTTCATCGTCATGCCATATATTTCTGAATTTACTTGTCTTGTCATGTTTTCTCTTGTCTTTCCTTGAACTGTCCTAACATATTTTATCATGTCTCTTGGTTTGCCTTGTTTTTTTGTCTTGTCTTGATGATTGTGAATGAATGATTGAATCAAGAGTTGACATTACTTCACTCAAAACACTCCCACAAATGCTCCATCCCCTTCTTCAGTAGCCAGTTAAGAGTTTATATACTAACAGTACCAGTTAACAACCTATATTTTCATATCTCTCCCCCCTACCCCCAGCTCTTATGTCAGCCAGAAAGTCTTGGGTTTTAAAAAAAAATTGTGATAATAACCTACAAAATGCTTCTATCGAGTGCCAAGTGCTCTATACAAATATGCATTTAGCATCATATGCTTGATGTGCCCATGGTTAACAAATACAGGGTCCTTGTTTGTTTCACTTCTTAGCTATAAAATCAGTCAAATGGATCTGCAAACACTCTCTGTCTTTTGGCTTGAATTTTGAATGTATGATAAAGAATCAAAATCACAGCACCTGGGACACTCCCATAAGTGCTCAGTCCCCATCTTCAGAAGCAAGCGAACAGTTCCAGTTCCGATAGTACCAGTGACCATCTGATTGTATTTCCATTTCATCCTTCCCTTAAGTGTTAAGCGTCGTCTAGATCCCTTGGTAACTCCTCATAGCGCTATTCTGCTTAGACCGTAATGATCTATCTGCGCTTCCACATTGTTCACTCGCTGCCTACGGGCCCTCACAATATCTGACTGGTCATACATCAGTTCACAACCAAGTGGTGCAGAGCCAGCCTGTCCATCTGCATGCTCATTTCCCAACACACTGGCAGAACCTGGAGAAAATATCCAAAGGATAACTACCCGGGACCTCTGAAGTGGTGCTTGCCACTCTGCACAAAGCATGCCTGTTTTCTTCTTTCTCAACATGCTCTGTGAGTCAGTTACAATCACGGCTTGATAGTACACTATCTTAAACTGCTGTTCACCCATCTCTTGATTTTGTCTTCCCTGATGTTGTCTATCTCTTGCTCTCTTGCATTCAACTTTTCCCTCCAGTATAGATTTTAAAAGAGTGTTAAGTCTTTTAATGAGGCCAGAATATTTAAATTGCCTCTTTTTCAGTCAAGCGGTGCCCATGGCTTAGGCTTTGCGAGTCCGACTCATAATTCCAGAGTACCGCGATCGAAACCCGCTGCTGGCTGCGTGGAGTTTTATCATAGTATGGGGCATCGCAGGTCGACCCAGCCTTAAATGGGTACCAGGATGTATGACCTGGGAAAGTAAAGACGGCCCCTGTAATGCTAGCCAAATTACCCACCTAGTGCAGATTGGTCTGTAAAAATATGGGGTGCTCTTCACATATGCCCGATCCACCTCAAGGCGTGAAAATGGATCTTTCCTTACTCTTTTTCAGTCACAGTTTCTTTAGAGACCCTGTATTTCATTGTTTTGTTTTGTTAACGATGCCTGTGTATTTTTATTCTCTTACAGACAAAACACTGGAGTGTGCATGCTTCAGAATGCAAACCCTTATCCTGATGTTGAATTCCACGACGCAGACAACAACTGCCCGACAGTTATCAAAATTTGTGATCATTAAACAACAGCTTCACCCTTGGAGCTAGCTAGCTAGTTTGCAGTAGCATCTTCAAGCTGGGGAGCAAAGGATATTCTCTGGAAGCAACCCAAAGGATAATTGCATAGTCAACAGAGAAGGGTCTCCTCTGAGAGGTTCATTAAAGTTGTATTATATCAAGCATTGCGCGGCTCTGTGGCTCACACGTCAGGGAAATGGTTTCCCAGTGTAATCCTTGTCATATTTGAGGGTTTAATTCCTGCAGTGTGTGGTTTAGAATAAGACAGCTCTCATGGCTTTCAGACACTGGTACGAGAGTCACACTTTGGAAGAGATTGGAGCTCTCCATTTAAAATTCTCATAGCGAGTTGTGGAGACTGTAGCCAAGCTCTGTTGTGAAAGCCGTATAGTTTATGCATGCCAGTGCAACCCATAGGAATGCAGGTTACATCATAAATGTAGGCTGCTGTAAATACAGCTGTTTTATACGGTTGAATGAGTTTCTGGAATTTGCCTGTGTTGGGTTACCGTACAAAAAGTGACCCTTTGAGTCACTTGATGTCCCTCTTTGCTTTAAACAGTAGCTGGTCTCCATGGTAAAAGGTGGTGGTTAAGCATTGAAATTCATCGGTTCGTTTTTAAAATGTGCCCTAATAATGACTTCTTTGGCAGTCGAACGGGATTTACAGGATCTGCCTTGTTGCTCTGCCATCCAGACTAAGATTTTTAAATCCCAGGATGGTGTGATAAACCGTTAGGTAGCAGCCCAAGAGAGACAAACTTATCAATCAACTGGAAGATGGTAATTAGAGAATGAATGGAACAATAAATAGGGAGGACTTTAATTAAGCTAATGCAGCGGTTCTTAACCTGTGGATCCTGACCCTTTTGGGGGTCAAACAAACTTTCGGAGGGGACATCTAAGACCATCGGAAAGCACATATTCCTTGAAGATATAAAGCAGTAATGAAAATGTTTTTTTATGGCTGGGGGTCATGGCAGCATTAGGAACTGTTTGAAAGGGTCACGGCATTAGCAAGGTTGAGAACCACTGAGCCAATGCAATACTGAAGGAGAAGATGACTTGACGGGAGTTGGTGTGCCCGGCTCTCTAGCGTAGTTGGCTAAACCGGGTTGCGCGGAGACTGGTTGACAAACTCCTTGTGGTCCGGGTTCAATCCCGGGGGTGGGCAGGAAAGCCACATTTTCTCCCAGATTTTACGGTATTTAAAATGGAATCAAGGCCGAAAGGTTGCGATATCCATAATACTGAGCCTAAGGGTTAACAACTCATGGCTTCTGGATACTAAAAGAAAGACAGGAGTTGGTTGTGGACCTTTGTTTCACTTGGGAATAACAGGAAGGAAAAAAGAGACAGCTAAGGCTAAAGACACATTGTTGAATATAACGAAATACAAGTCTTGAGCTTCAAGAGCTTGTACAATTAATAGCATTTTCTGTGTTTGCTCAAAACAGTGCCTAAGTGTTTCATATTTGCACAGATGGTGTTTTTTTCTCAAGAAGATTTGTTTACGGGAAATGAAAAATCAAGGCTTCTGTTCTTATTGTTTTTCTACACAACTTCAATACTTTATACACACACGATGGGTGCTGAAACTGGAAAGCTCACAACCCCCCCCCCCCTCTTCCCCTCCACCCCTTCCCCCCATCCCCTTTTTAAGTGGGTTGGAGAAGGGAGGCTTAGCTTGTCTTTGTTTCGGCACCC